TAATCAATTTACGCGATAAATTGGTTTCGTTCCGTTAATTGGGTAGAAATATTTCATCAAAAAATCAATCAGTAAATAAGACAAATAATCTAAAAGTGAAATACTTTTATTTACGACTGCATATTTATTAAGTTTTTTTTCCTTCTTCTTACAGTTTTTGTTTTACAAGGACAAAAGCGAGGAGCAGAAAATCTCAAGCCCTTTCGGCCAATCCATTAGCCATATTCTGCATGGCATGGTGGGTTAGAACTGGTGGAACTTTAAACTTAATTCTAAGTGCTCTTAACTCGAATCGGAATTGGTAACTGAGGTAAGACAACCCAATTACCTCCCCTGTTTTATGATTCGTATAAATGAGTCATGTCGTTTTAGCCAAAATGGAAAAACTTTTCAGTTACGTTCAATAAAGGCACATTAAGCCAAACTAGACTCTGAGTTTTCATTACAATTTATTGAACGTAATTATGGACAAATACCTTAAACCAGAACATCTTGATTTGGATTCTACAGACCCGTCTTCGACTGACGCCTGGCAATATAGGAAACGATTATTCGAAGGATTCTTGCTTGCATTGGAAAACAGTTCATTCACTCCGATTACTGATGTGGATAGACTTAACCTATTAATGCACCACGTTTCCATATTCCTATGTACCAGTATTTCTCACTGCAAAACTTACCAGAGTGACATGGACGTTTTGGATGGAATTTTTGTGAAAAGAAACTAGAGAGTGAGATTTCATTACAGCAGCCCTCAATTAAAATCTTGTAATCAAAACGAGTCTTAAGAAAACTGAATAGTTTTCTCGACTCACCAGAGGGCAGTGATTAGTAAGCTACTCTTTCTGACAATTACTACTGTTCGATCCTCATTGAGTGCTCCACATTATTGCCTTGTGCCAAACGAAGCTAAGTTCCAATAGCAGTATTTAATGAATTTACCTTAGCATGAAACAAGGCAAGAACAATGAGTGTGATACCCAGTGAGGATCGAACTCACTCCTAAACTAAAGATCAGCCAAATTTGTTTACCATTTCTGTGAAAAGCTTAATTTATTTGCTAATCATAGCTTAGTTTTGGCAAAAAATCAAAAGTATTGGACACCCAGTGAGGATTAAACTCACCATTAATGATCTAAAAGACAAGATTGTTAATCATTACACCAAGACGGGGCACCCCTCGAAAACTCGAAAGTGTCTAAACTTAAATATTAGCTTAGATTGTCACTTAATTCTTAGAAGTTATTTACGATGAAGAATTGCCATCTTTGAAGACATAAACGACACACACAGATATATTTGATGTACCCACATTTCAACAGGATACATTTAGTGGGGAAATAGTTCATTTAAGCATCTAATGTTTAAAGTACGCTATTGGTATATTACTAAACATTACACAAGCACTATAGCCATAGCAGAAAACATTACTGTATATAAAAAGAAATATGGTAATACAGCTGAACATAAAACAAACATTGGCAACAGGGAAGAGATTATAGAGGAATATAGTAATAAAACGGAATATAATCAGTAATTTTAAGCAAAAAAAGAACATGCAGCTTAAACTTTTTTTTTATTAATTTAGGTTCCCATACGTTCAAATTAAACTCATGTTTCTATAAAACAGATACAAAACGTGGATTCAGTTGATCATTAAATTTAAACTATATAGATCGATCATCAACTGGCATAAAAACGGACACAAATTAAGGGTTCAATTACACTTTATAAATCAAACCCCTTCTTTAGAATTACTGCATTCCTATATAAAACGTATTTTTTCTCCAAATCGAAAAAGAAAGTACAAAATGGTCATATTCAAACAAAGCAGTCCTAACCACACGAAAAAATATAGTTTTAATGTGGCGTGTCTATTTAGGGCGTTGGTGATCATGGCTCTCCGTAATTCACTGTCCTTTGTAGCTGTTATTAAACTTTGTCTTTTCTAAACCCTTTTTTGCCATTTATCTTTCTTTTTTTTTTATTTAAGCGTTTCACCCCAAGCAAGGCGGGAAGCCACTAGGACACAAGGGGTTACAGAAGATTTGAAGCAAGATCAGATAGGAGTGATAGAGAAAAGAATGAAGAGAAGGATTGTGAATAGATCAAGGCAACTGGAGTTGTCGATTGACTTTACATTTGAATAGTTGGAGATTATAGCTCCCAGGGAAATAATCTTTTTAAGGAGTTTTTATGAATTTCTGCCAAATATATTTTTACTGAAATTTGACACTAAGGTCATAGCCATAATAGTATTCATTTTATGCAACAAATAGTTATCTGATTTGGCGGTAAGAAGGCGTAAAGATATATTCGATACACCTCGTTTCAGCAAAGCATATTCAGAGGGTGGGAAAAAAGCTTTTTTAGTGTATTTAAACATGTAATATTTAAAGCAAGCTAACTGTATATTAGAGATCGGTGGTAGCAGAAAACATTACTGTATATAAAAAGCAAGCTGGCATTATAACTGTGTTCAAAGTAAGAAATTAAAATGCAAATATATCCACCCCTTCACCATTCAATTTATTTATTTGTTGACTGTTTCGTACAACAGACATATTTCTCTGCAACATTAAAGCTATGTTTCCCAGGTTAGTGTTTTACCATTACCTGTCTTTCATTTTTAATTATGTCTCTTTCTTCTGTAATTTCCGAATGGTTAATGATAGGAGTGTGTTGAGGCAAATTCACGTTGATACTGACGAATGTTACCGGTACCTAGTTATAGAAATCCTTTCTACAATACCAATAGTAGTAATAATAATAGCAATAATAATAATGATGATAACCTTCGACATATTTTTTCTACTTGTGTCACACTAAGCAGCCTATGCATGTGCGTGTGCGAGCATGCACGCTCCAGGAATATTTTGAATAAATATTTGCTGGTAAAAAGAAAATCACAAAAATGAAAGATCCATTGTGAATCGATTTTACTAAAAATTGAGTGCCAGACAATATTATTCATAATAATTCTCACGCAAGCACCATTTGTCGAGTTTTATGCCTGTATCCATGCCAAGTGTTCGCTTATATGCATACGCAAACGTGCGAGACAAGGGTTCTGTCTGCATGTGATATATTGCATCTACCAGAAGCTTAAATGACACATGCGCATTAAGCGTCTTGCCAACGTGATCACAGCCGACAGAAGGTTGTTTGAGCCATGTTGCGTTGAGATCCGCATGGACACAGTCCACGCAGAGATCCGGTCACGTGGTAACGGAAAACGCACGAAGGAAATTATTCAATCGCAAAACGAGCCCATTCAGCGTGACTTACTCTCTATCTCTCTTTATCATTATCTTTCCTTATCTTTCTCTCCCTTTCTCCCTCTCTTTATCGTTTTCGGTCTTTTCTCTCTCTCTCTCTCTCTCTCTCTCTCTCTCTCTCTCTCTCTCTCTCTTGCATATTGTTTTTTTTTCTTTTCTTTTGCCCTCCCTAATAGCAGAGTATATCATCGATAATATTCTCAAGTTATCAATTCTTAGTCTTTCTTGCCTCGCTTTTTGGCACCTGGACAACCACAGATAGATAGATAGATAGATAGATAGATAGATAGATATGAACGAGCTGATAGATAGATAGATAGATAGATAGATAGATAGATAGATAGATAGATATGAACGAGCTGATAGATAGATAGATAGATAGATAGATAGATAGATAGATAGATAGATAGATAGATAGATAGATATGAACGGGCTGATAGATAGATAGATAGATAGATAGATAGATAGATAGATAGATAGATAGATAGATAGATAATGTTTTATGCACATATTATGAATATTACACACTGTTACGCATATAAAAAGAATGATAGATATATATGAACAGAATGAGATAGATAGATAGATAGATAGATAGATAGATAGATTCTCTCACTGGCCCCTCACATCAAGTTTTCGTTTCCTTTTCCCATCTCTTCTTCCCACACAATACACTCCCCCCCACAATACACTCCCCCCCCCACAATACACTCCCCCCACCTTTCTTTCCGCCTGTCCTCTTATCTTTCTGAAGTGTTATTATCCTGATCTGTGTCTATTTATAAACGCACCCTCATATTCTCTAACACTTCTTCCCTTCACGTCTCTTCTGTGGATTTTCCTGCGGATCACTCTTCTCATCCTAATTGCTCTCATTCTCTCTCTCTCTCTCTCTCTCTCTCTCTCTCTCTCTCTCTCTCTCTCTCACACACACACACACACAGACACACACACACTCCCACTCTCTCCTTTGGTCACAATCACAGATGTTAGATCTTCTCGAATCTCAACATTGTTTCTTTTAAATTGTGTTACGCTTTTTAAGATGCAGTTCTTCATAGACTAGCACCACCCCCTCACTCTTTCATTATCTGAGTCAGCCTATCTTGTACTTCTCTCTCGCTCTTTGTGTGCCGATTGATTTCTCCCGTGTTCTCATACACGTACACCCTCTAAAGCTACCTCTTAACATATTTACTTCGCTTTCTCTTCCTCTCTCACGCTATCTTATTCTTCCTCCTTTTCTCTCTGTCTTTCTCTTCATCTTCCCTTCATTATTCTTCCTCTTCTGTCTGTTTCTCTCACCCTCTTTCGCACTCTTATTCGCCCTTCTCTTCTCTCTGTCATCTTCTCCTCCTTTAACGCTCTTATTTTCTTCTTCTTCTTCTTCTTCTTCTTCTTCTTCTCTCTGTCTTTCTCTAACTCTTCCACGCTCTTACTTATTCTTCCTCCTTTTCTCTTTGTCTTTCCCTCCCTCTTTCGCGCTATTATTCATCCTCTCCTTCTTTGTGTCTTTCTCTCCTTCTTCCGCGCTCTTATTCTTCCTCTTCTTCTCTCTTTCTTTCTCTCTCTCTCTTTCGAGCTCTAATTCTTTATCTTTTTCTTTCTGTCTTTCTCTCCCTCTTTCTCGATCTTATTCTTCCTCTTCTCTCTGTATTCTATCTCTCTTCCCAGCTCTTATTCGGCCGCTTTTTGTCTTTGTCTTTTTCTCCCACATCCGCGATGTTATTCTTCCTCTTCTTTTCTCTGTCTTTCTCTCTCTCTCTCTCTCTCTCTCTTTCCCTCTGCCGCGCTCTTAGTCTGCCTCTTCTTGTCTTTCTCTCTCTCTCGCTTTCGCATTCTTCTTTTACTTCTTCTTTCACTACCTTCCGCTCACTCTTCCGCGCTCTTGTTCTCTCTCTTCACTCTGTCTGCCTCTCTCTCTCTCTCTCTCTTCTGCAGTCTTCTTCTTCCTCCTCTTCTCTCTGTCTTTCTCTGTCTCTCTCTGTCTCTCTCTCTCTCTCTTCTGCGCTCTTATTCTTCCTCCTCTTCTCGGTGTCTTTCTATCCCTCTTTCGCGCTGTTATTCTTCCTCTTCTTCTTTGTCTTTCTCTGTCCCCTCAGCGCTCATATTCTTCTCCCTCTTTTCTCTGTCTTTCTCTGTCTCTCTCTCTCTCTCTTTCGCGCTGTTATTCTTCCTCCTCTTCTCTCTGTCTTTCTCTCACTCTTCCGCGCTGTTATTCTTCCTCTTTTCTTTGTCTTTCTCTCACTCCTCCACGCTGTTATTCTTTCTCTTTTTCTCTCTGTCTTCTTCTTCTTCTTCTTCTTTCTGTCTGCCGAACTCTTCCGCGCTATTATTCTTCCTCCTCTTCTCTCTTCCTTTCCATTTCTTTACATCTTTTCTCTTTCTGTTACTTTTCAATAATTGCCTTAACCAAGAAGCTAGTTTCTTTTTCTTAATTCTCTCTTTCTCTTTTTGTCATGACTCTCTTTTTTTATGTTTCTCTTTCTCCTTTCTTCTCTATTTCTTATTTTCTCTTTCTCTCTTTTTCTTATTTCTTTCTGTCTTTCTTTTTCTTATTTCTTTCTGTCTCTCTTTTTCTTATTTTTTTCTGTCTCTTTCACTTCCTCTCCATCTCTCACTCTCCTATCTTTTCCTACTCTCGTAATTTTCCACACATGCTAACTTTTCTCTCTTTCTTCTTTGTCTTCTCCTCTCCCTCTCTCTGTCTCTTTTACTCTCTTCCTATTTTCTCTCACATTTTCGTACACCTAAATCCTCGATACCTTTCACCTCCCTTTCTCTCCCTCCACTTCTTTCACTCTTCTTTGCCACTCTTCTTCTTTCTCTTTCTGTATCCTTTTACTTCTCCTCTCTCTGTCTGTCTGTCTCTCTTCCTCCCTATCTTCCTCTCATTGAATCTTTTTCTGATCAATCATGGACGACCGCCCAAGCATAAGGCTGTAATTAAGTGTCATTTGAAACCTTGCAAGCAGAATGCGAATCCCATTCAATGGTGTGTTATTGCACCTAACTAACCCTTTTTCCCGGGCTTGCCTTTCCCGCTCACGCGGCGCCCATTATGGTGAAATGAACAAGCAAATGAACGTGCAAATGAATGTGTGAGCGCCAGCCGTACAATGTGTCCACATGGATACGGTCTAAAAATAGATATAAACTGATTGGCTCAACTTCTAACCCAACGGAACTGCTGATTGGCTAGTCCGAACACTCGAGTATTTGACAATATTCACAATTTACTATTTCAAATTCTCTCAGTCTCTATACCTTCCTCCTCATATATATATATATATATATATATATATATATATATATATATATATATATGTGAATGACATGTCCTTTTAGAACGTAGGTGGTTATATCTCTCCACGAATTGCGTCACATTATTATCTGTCATGACTTCTTGGGAAAGATAGCGGAGCGGTTTTCTGTTTCCTTCTCCACAGATTGGAATCCCTATTTCCATGGTGAGTGTTCAGATGAGCTATTTCCATTACTTCCGCCAGTTGAAACCTTTAAAACTAAGACCCATCATGCCATGTATGTTTTTTTTAATCACCCCGTGCAAGGCAATAAAGCCACTAAGACTCAAGGGAGTTACAGGGTGTGGAAGGATTAGGAACAAAACATTAATAATGAGTCGGAAGAGGAAAGGGTAATCAGGAGTACAGTATATAGCGATTGACGTTGAATTTCAATTTTTGCAGATTAAAGTTGGCTGGAAAGCATGGAACCGGAAGCGAGTTCCACAAGCGAGTAATGCGAGTGAAGAAACTGTTACCATAGAACTTACGGTTACATCTAGCCAGCTCAACTGCAAACTGATGAGATCTCGACGCTAGACTAATGCTGCTATTAAATTCAAAAAGTCTTGGTACCAGAGTGAAGAGCTCATCCAAACAATTACCGCGAAATTGTTTATAGAAAAGACTCAGGGAGGCAACTTTACGGTGGTGGGAAAGTGAGTGAAGCCCAACTGCCAAATCAGGACCAATAATATTGCTGATTCTTCTTTGAATTTTATCAAAGAACACAAGATTAATAGCATGGGCATCGGACCATATGTGACAGCAAGAATCTAATCATAGACGAATAGTAGACTTATAGATATGCAAGAATAGATTCTGGATGAGAAAAATTGGTTCGCACGACACGTTGAACCAACTTTCTTAATAGCAGACCTAGCAATGGATTCAATATAGTCTTTCCATTTCATGTCAGCTAAGAACGTCAGCCCGAGCAACGAGTCACTTTCCTATATACAGGGTAGATTCATCCTAATTCCCTTCGTATTCCATTAGTAAGGTGCAAGTTCTATTCTGACAACCTCTTGCCAAGAACTGCTACTTTGAGAGGAGACTACTCTACCAAATAACATAAACTACATCACTTGAGGACTACCAACAGCAGCAAGAACTAAAATGGGTAGCACATGTAACTCTAAGAGAAAAAATGAGATAATCAAGATATTAGCGTTCTACCCTACCTCAAGTAAAGCGCTAGGGAGGAAACCCCCATCAATGCTGGAAAGAGATATAACAGCTACTGGTTTGGGGGAAACGATTTCTTTAAAAATAAGTTATTTTAAGAGAAGGTTTTATAAATTTCAACCGATAGCAATACTGGTTGTTCGCTTAATGGATGCTAAATGTTTCTTTATAAGGAAACGGCTAATATTGCCATTAACATTACTATTCTCTGATCTTAACCGCTTCAAATCTCGGGTCAACCACTTTTCAGTAACTTCATTCAAACCTTTACCTTGAATGGTTACTAGGCCTTGTATTTGGTGAACGTCAGCAAAAAAGAAAAGAATTCAGAGTAGGAATTGACTGGCCGCCAGCCAAGGCTCGAAACTTCAATTTACTCTTCTGTTTAACTCAAAGCTGGGAAGGTACTAGATGAATGCGTACCTTTGTCAAGGGCATCAGAATGAAGTGGTCTCAACAGACTCGGTTGCGATTTGAACTCGGTTAGCCATGAAAATTGCCATAGAGTAGAAAGAGTGTAACAATGTTTTATTTGTGGGGAAACTGGGTGTAGGATTGAAGATGATTTACCACCAAAAAGGCGGAGTAAACACTTTTGAAATTTTAGAAAGGGAACATTGGGCTGCTCCAGCCTAGAGATGACAGCATAACTCTTGTAATGACAAAGAATTGAAGGAGGAGTCAAGTAATTTCTAGAGAGGTACAAAGAACAGACGATTTTTCCAGTATCTTTAACGACGGTTCGTATTTTTGGAGTTTCACTTGAGGTCTGAAAAAAATAACTGTATTTGTGTTTATTAATAATGGAATTAATAGTTAGAAAGTGTTTGACTGAACTTCAGTTGAAATTCAATTAAGACTAATAAGTATCTCCGGATGGGAAATAAGATGCATCTTGTCACCACGTCGTCCTATGTTTGAAAAAAAAAAGTTTGTCTTTTCATTTTATACCGCTTTATTCAACACCACCTAGTTAATTAATAAACAATTATTATCTCAAAAAAGTCTTACAATTTAGAAATATTTTCTGTCTTTAAATAACCTGCAAAGGGTTGATAAGCCGTTAAAAATAAAACAACACCACTTAACAGGCGTTAAGAGAAGCCTCCAAGTGGACAAGGTGATGTAATCCCACAGTGTTAATAGTTAGAAAGAGTTTATTTACATGTATTTGATTTTTAAATTCACATGTCAAAACAGAAAAAAAAATTCGTAACGGAAAATAAATCACAATTCTGTAGAAAAAGTAGGAAAGGAAAATAATGAAGCTCTTTAAAGTTTTTAATTTTCAAACGTTTGTCAAATAAGGATCACCGTAAGCAAACATGTAATGTTATTTGTTTCTACATCATTGACAGGGCAGGCACACCATACGAATTGACTATTAAATATAGTTCTGAATTTCTAAAAGAGATACATCTTTAAATAAACAAGTTATATCATATTAGGTTAGGGCGCATTTCTTCAGTACCCATGGAGCCAAAATGCGGTTTATACAATTCTGAGTGGATCTTACAGCTTCTGGAGCAATCTGGAATAATGAGTAGTCCAACAAAATATAATGTTAATTGTTTCTATATCATTGACCACGGTGTGTCTTACTTGTCAATGATAAAGACACACTTGGGGACGATGTCTCATGGCATCATGTTATGACAACCATCAAAACTTCCAAATATTTTTGTCCATCTAGTTTGACTCAAATAGCTTGAGTCAATTTGTAATATGGTGTTCAGGCATGCCCCAATATCCCTTACGACTGTCGTCGATATTATGAAGAAGTCTCTTCCTCCTTGACAAATCATCCATGGTGAGATTTGAACCCAGATCTCAGAGTCAGTGCATTAATGTCTTAATCACTCAGCCATGGATTCCTTTGCTAAGTTAAATCCTCTTTGAGAGACTTCCTTAGAAATGCCTTGTACTAGATAAGGATATACTTTAAATCATATATATATATATATATATATATATATATATGATTGTTACATATATTCATTCATTTTTTTTTCTAATGATCTGAGAATGATCTCGAAGAATAATCTTTCGAAGCATTTTTTGGCTTCTTAGTAAGTCTGGTCATCCTTTGAAACTGTTGTCTAATGTTATTGAAATTTTATTTCATATTAGACCCCACCTCTTTGAGTTGTAATGCCTAAGTAGACAAGAATGAGCATATTCGACATCTCTATCAAGGTCACAAAACTGCCAAAGCTGTCCGGGATCTTAGTGCTGCGTGCGGAGATGAAACTCTTCAAAACAACCAGATGGTCAATGTTAAGCTGTATGTTGAACAAATGACAAAATTCAAATCAGCTGAAAAAAAAAAAAGACCGGTGATATAGTATGATTTTTCACCATGACAATGCTCACCCCCACTTCGCTAACATGACTAAACATGCAACTAAAGAGCTTTGTTGGGAAGTTCTGCTACACCCACTATATTCACCTGATTTAGCCCCATCAGAATACCACATTTTTCGGTCGCTTTCTAACAGTTTGAAGGGTGTTTCGTTCAACAACGATGTGGAGCTTAAAACATGGCTTAATGAATTTTTCGAGTCAACATCTAGTGATTTCTATCAGCAACGTATGATCAGCAGTAAATTGTTGTCAGGGGGTCATAAACAATGAAGGGGAATACATTTTCGAATAATACATCAGAATTATTAATAAATAATAAGTATTAAAATAAATTATAAAAAAAAACGAACCAATTTATGTAACAACCTTATATATCTCTTCTGTTATGAACTATCTTTTATTTAATATCTGACAGTTTCGAGTGTGTAAAAAATTATTTTGTAGAATTATGCCAACTGCGTGGGGTTAAAACTCCTCCTCGTCGTCTTTTTCTTTTTCTTTCTAAGAATTTCGAGTTACTGAATTATCTTTTCAAAAATCATATTAACATTATACTTGTTTCGCAATTAGTTAGCAAGTTAACATGTTTATTACGCCTTTCCATTGCCTCAGATAAATAATGGGCCATTCCGTTTTGGCTGTGAGAAAAGATGGTGGTGGAAGATATATGAGACACGCTGTTTGGTTTTACTGTAAAAAGAAAGAAAGAAAGAAAGAAAGAAAGAAAGAAAGAAAGAAAGAAAGAAAGAAACAGCATAATCATTATTTATTCGGTTAGTGCATTTAACGCTGCCGCTATAGTCACCGGAGTGTTGACCATAGCGGAGTGGTGACCATGGGACGACAATCGTAAGGGATATTGGGACATGCCTGAAAACCATATTACAAATTGACTCAAGCTATTTGAGTCAAACTAGATAGACAAAAATATTTGGAAGCTGTTAATGGTTGTCATAACATGATGCCACGAGACATTGTCACCAAGTGTGTCTATATCATTGACAAGTGAGACACACCATAAGTATGGTCAATAATATAGAAACAATTAACATTACATCTCCATCTCACAATTGTGGTTCATGGTGACATTCAAGGCAGAATAATGTAATGGCTTGCCAGTTCGGATGTTGAGGTAACCCTTCCCATTCTCCCAGAATTTAAAGAGGCAAGAAGTTAAATTAAAGCAGAAGTTAAAGTAGCAAGTAATTGGAATTCAGAGTTTGCTTTCTCCTAGACCGGTTGCCACCCAAGGCTATAGAGCCCAGTCTTTCCTGTTATTAATCATAAGAGTAAGACAGAAGATATGTGTTCCTACTTTTCCCAAGGGTATTAGCACGTAAGTGAATGCAATGAACTCGAGTGTAATTCGAACTCGGCTCTCCCATTCTTCAATACGAGCCGCTATTCATTACTCTACCGTGCCTCCCCCCCCACCTGCCGATACCTCATAAATGATGGACTATTTCGTTTTGATCGCGAGGAAACATATCGAAAATTCTGTATGGTTTCAGGAAAAGATAGATAGATAGATAGATAGATAGATAGATAGATAGATAGATAGATAGATAGATAATGACTTTAAAAGAACAGAAAATAATTTAGATAGATAGATAGATAGAATAGGTTGTAACGCTTTCATACATTTAAAGTCTGCTTCAGGAAAATGGAAAACCTAATTCTGAATCTTTTCATTTGTACCCTCTTACTTCTTTAAATAATAACCTGCATAACTTATAATTATTATTTCAATAGTTTGATAAAATTGTTAAGCACAAATATTTAAGGAGGCAATAGGAGCAATTCCACACATATTATATAGACGTGGAACTAAAAAGGAGCTTATTTAGAATTAGGACTAATTAGAAAATGCAAATATGAAAACCGTGAATTTTTTGCGGGTATTACTTGCTTTGAATTACAGTCCGTTATAAGTCTGTACCGTACTTTTGCATTTGAACATAACATTTAAATCAATGTAAATTTTTGCCTGATGAAGGGAAAGATATGCCGACATTTCTGAGATTAGACATCGTAATTATTTACAATATATACATTATTCGGACTGTTGTCCTCATTTTTGTCATATTCACGACGTTTTTGCCATTGTAACTCCGGTCTTCTTAGTGATTGGAATTTAGAACCGAACCCTTTATTTCATCCACCGGGGGTAGATTATTCTAGTTCCAAGTGCCATGCCTCTCCCGAATATCTCAGTTTCAGTTATTTACTTTTAGATCAACTCTCTAAGTTTTTGTTCACCTCTACCATGGCCAGGTATTGAACTCACAACTCTTTAGGTCAAGTCACTGGATTACATCAACCAACACTTTGATCCACTTGAGGACATGTGTATGAATTTTTGAGACTTATAAACTTAATGTCTAAGTAATATTATTTTTACCAGAGCTGATATTACAATTTTTGGTTATTATTTTTTTTTTTCTCTAGCACTCCGTATTAGTGGTTTCCATATTGTATTCGTGTCTATGGAGGGAAAAGAGAGATCACTGCCCCACCCATGGTATGAGGTTGAAATAATAGACAAAGAACATCACTGGAAAATACAAAAACTTAAGGAATCGGTGCATATGCTAGGCCACGAAAATCTCTTAAGCCGGCCAAAACGTATGACAACAAAGATAAGGACAACATTGTAAATAGTGTAAATAAAAGTATATATATTTCCATGTATTTAATGCCAAAGAATTTTCTTCCAGTATTTTCGCTGATCAAAAAGAACTCTGGGAATGCTTATGACAGAGCTGTAAAAGTTCTGTAATAATTAATAAATGTTCGAAATCATTCCCAGATCAAACAAAATCAATAAATGTTTTCAATCGTGTTCGTTTGTTAATTATTAAATGGCTAATTCGCTTAGAATGTTGGAATAATTTGCGAAATTATTTGGCGTCTACATGAAGCCAGTATTTCTCGCTATTTGATATCAAATTTAATTTGCTATAATTATCAAAATGTATTAAGAATTACTTGATACGAAATTATTTTACGAAACACGTCACATTTATTTCCTTCAGAAATACAATTCAAAATCTAAAGATTTTACAAGATAACAAAAATTATTTTACTTGGCATATTTTATACTTTATTAATTTTATAAATATCTTTTACAAACGCCTATTATATTCTCAGTGCACTTCAAACTTGTGGAAGCTATCGATGCACATACCAATAAAAACACGAAACTAATTCTAACATACATATTCGACTTCGAATTTCGTCAGTTAATATCAGCAAGCGGATTGGAGAGTTTGAAATTTTTTTTCCGAACGTAGATTCTTTTTTTTTTTTTTTTTTTTTTTTTTTCAAGAGACTCTCCTTTTTCACCCTCTCAGGTGGAGCGCTTATATATCTACGTATCATCCGGTTGTCCCGCGTATGGACATACAGCTGGGTCGATCGCATGTTTTCATGTTGGGGCTAGCCACTGACTCACAGAGAAGGCACGAATCTGCGCCCGGTGGCAAGGAGGATACCTTCTAGGTTAATTCGCTGATGCATATAGCTTTTCTGAAGTTCTTGCGTAACACTTAGTGCAAAGTCTTTTTTGGCATCATCTGGCGTGATACCAGTATATTGGGGTCATCATAGATCGATTTCTCTCAGACCAAAGCTTTCTTTTCGACATTAAATTATATTCAATGCATCTTATGTTTCCGAGCGTGTATCACATACCACTCGTATTTATAAGCTTAGGCTGGCATAAGGCTATAATTTAGGAGTGCCTAAAGAAGATTTGTCCTTCTAGTCTTTACTGGGTGCTTCATTTGTCTATGAGACCAAATTACTCTATGGCTCTTAATTTCCATCAGTGACCTTCTTCCTGGTGGCGTCATTTCTCAACTGGGTATCGATGCCGATGACGCAACTATTTATTCCTGCCTCAACAGTAAGTCTGATCGGTTCGATGAGGTCAAATTGACAGCTGGTCACAAAAATGATTTACATTCTCTTGTTAATTGGGGCAATGAATGGCTTGTTAATTTTAACGCCTCCAAAAAGAAACTTCTCTCTTTTAATCATCTGAGAGATCACTTTCTGCTTGCCATCAGCATGGCTAATGCTAACCTCCAGGAGAGTGACTTGTTGCGCCTTCTCGGGCGCAACAAGTCACTCTGCTGATGTGAAGTGGAAAAATTATAATGAATTCATTGGTAGGTCAGCTACTAAGTAAGTTGTTTCACTGCGTCAAGCTAGACTATTTTTCTCACCAGAAACTATTTTACATATCTATAAGTCTACCATTCGTTCAAGCTTTGATTATTGCTGCCACATATGGTCTGGTGCTCCTGCAATAGATTGAGAGATTCTTGATAAAATTCAAAGAAGAATCAGCAATATTATTGGTCCTAATCTGACATCACGACTTTAGCCACTTTCCCACCGCCATAATTTTGTGCCTTTTTTTTTTAAATATTTTTTTTCTGATGATCTTTTCACAAAGGCACATACACTTTATGGATTTAAGACTGGCAGCGATATCTCATCAATTTACAGTTGAACTGGCTAGATACAACCGCAAGTTCTATGCTAATAGTTTCTTCTCTCGTACTTCTCGCTCATGGAACTCTCTTCCGGTTCCATGTTTTCCAGAAAAATTTAAATGCAATGCCAATCGTTATCTACTGATTATTATTTTACTGTTCTCACTTCTTAATAATGTTTCTCTTTTTCCTTTTATTGTTTCACACCCAGTAACCCTTTGATTTTTAGTAGTTTCATCATATTATATGGTGTGAAATGATTAAAAAATGCATCCAACGTGTTTATATATTAATCCTACTCCTGTGTAATATAATTTAATTTTTAATATTAACTTAATACTAACGTGATTATATCTGTTCAAATTTACCGAAAATCTCACTTAGTTTTTTTTTTAAAGTTTTTCAGTCAATATAAAATATTTCCTTTCATTATTAATTTCATTTGATATTTCATCTGTTTTGAATGAAATCGACCCATCTCAATGGGAATCTTTTGAAATAGGAGAATATGTTGTTCGTTCTACCATTGTTTAAGTTTTTATAAATGTCACGTCTATTAATGACATAGGCGATCATGACTCTCCACACCCTTTCCTTTATTATCTGTGAATTGTATTGCATTCTTCGGAAGGATAATGAAGTGGTTTCCCATTACCCTCTCTAAGAGTTGAAATTCAGAATTTTCTACTTCCTTACGCTGCTTGCCATCCAAGGTTCGAAAGTCCAATCTATTCTATCAATTAACCTATAGGTGGGAGGTGTTAATTTAATTAGCGCTGCTATTTTTTTCAATTCATTCAAATGTCTTGTAACAGTACACAAGAAGCATTTTATAATATGGCAGTATATATATATATATGTATATATATATATATATATATATATATATATATATAACTAAACACAACATATCATTAATTCATTAAGATTTCATTATGTTCAACACACACAAATACATACACACGCAACTCATTTTTTCGCCTTTGATCTGAATTTATAACACACACACACACACACATAGTTTAAAGGTATGCTATATTTAGGGGTTAAAGCGCTCAATATCACCGATAGAACATATGTAAATGTTGTAACCTAGGGAAGGTTACTGAAAAGAATAATCACACGAAGGTTAGTAAGGAACGATAATAGTTAGGACAAGAACAACACATATAAGATTCGCCAGCGGCCCGTAAAAGTAGTAGTCAACTAATAGAAGTGAGTCAAGTGAATACCACAATGAATCTCTAACCGTGGGATATCTACCAATCGCCCCACGCAGTCAGATGTGGCACAGGGCCGAATTCAATGTGGGGTATCCGAGCCTGTAGGCTCGACCAAAATTTCCCCGCAGACCCCCTATAAAACAGGGTCGGGTAGCTGTTTCCCGAGACGAGACTCTGCTCTTCAACATAGCTTTGTCTGGAAGTCCTCTCTGTCAGGAGGCAGAGAGTTTGACCAGCACAGCTAGAGTCGAATCTCCAACTACAGACCAACATACAGTATATACTACTGTACTTATGTAAGTGGGGACATTCTCACTATCGTCCATATGTATGCAACAACAGTAAATATAAAAGCAGAGTTCAACACCCAACCGCGGCAGTCTGTTTCATTCTTAAGCACAATTATGACCTGAAGATTATATATATATATATATATATATGTGTGTGTGTGTGTGTATATATATATATATATACTGACGTCCTAATTTTACAAAAACATAATTTATTACGTAGAAAATACTTAGGAGGAATCCTGATGAATACACTCAATGATCAATGAATACACCCGTCAAACTTTATTATATCAACTTTTATAAAATCCATACATCTGCCTGCCTAAAACCACAACCGGTTTAGACCTAAATTGTTTAACTCCCACACAAACAATCTCCGATCAACATGCGGACACGGCCAGACATAAATAAATTATCAACAACATCCTATATAGATCAACTAGAATTGTGATATACGAACACACAAGACTATACACACGATTGCTATTTCGTAGCATAAATACACACGAGACCTGCTTAACCAATGAAAAACAAACAACAAAATAAAAAATATAAAACAAACAAAATAAAAACAAAGAACGCAAAATAAAAATACCAGGATTTTCTTTTCCTTCTCTATATTTAATTTTCTGATGAATCTTAAATAAAAGCGAAACCAGTTATATTTATAAACGTTTCTTATTTGTTCCTTATCCTATACTTCTGTCGGATTATCATCCATATTTGATCCCAGTTCAGATAGATAGATAGATAGATAGATAGATAGATAGATAGATAGATAGATAGATAAACAGAGAGGAAGAGATAAATAATTAAAGAGAGAGAGAGAGAGTTGACATTGGAATCATAACAGTCAGTTTTTTGCTTCGTTGCGATCAAGACAAGAAGAGCATATTTGACCTTAGTACTGTGTGTCAACATGTTAAATGAAGTGGGACTTTTTTCCTCCGGGGAATTTATATGTTTTATTGCTTATTTTAAAACATGACAATATAATACAACGGAATTTGTTTTTTTTTTTTTTTTTTTTTTATTCTTTTCGGCAATATCACACATTTTTCATTTTTTATTTCTCATCTCGTTGAGAAGGAACACAGGCGTGTCCGAAAATTCTGATTTTTAAGATCTTTCTCACCATGATTCCATTTGGTCAAAAGGCTTAATAATAAACCATAAATATTATTTGTCTTATTATCAATATTATTATATTTGTTGTTGTTTTTTTTATCTCCCGACTTTCTTTCACCGGCCAATTATATATATATATATATATATGTGTGTGTGTGTGTGTGTGTGTGTGTGTGTAAACAAATATATGGATATAAATCCGACAGTATGAAGAAAAATATACGGAAAAAACAAACAAAAATCCTAAGATGCAATTATGCTGTTTTAATGTTAATGTAATGTCAACGTCGGACGTTTCGATCTAGTAGACCATCATCAGAACATATTCATAATACATAATTAACATTAGACTATATTTAATTCAACATGAAAAAACGATGGTCTACTAGATCGAAACGTCTGACGTTGACATTATATTAACATTAAAACGGCATAATTGCATATTAGGATTTTTTGTTTTTTTTTCGTATATTTTTCTTTTATATATATATATATATATATATATATATATATATATATATATATATATATATAATAACTTTTAATTAAAAAAAAAATAATGTACTGAGAGGAAAATGTTTTGAAAATGCCTTGTTCGCTAGTTCAGCCACAATGAATTTGCCTCCAGGCTCTTACAATATATCACCATTCTTGGTAAATTTTATTTGATCACAGTGTGGGATAGTCAGAAAGAAAGGTGATGGAAAGAAAAAGAAAAAGAGTACAGATGATCATGGCTGGTTCTACCTACTAATATTACTAATCCTATATTTGGTCATTTACATAGAGATTTGAGAAAATGGAACAAACCAAGAGCTTTTCAGCACCACCCTCGTATAAGACGCACTTTTTCCTTGTCATTTATTGTAAGTGATAGAATCTAAAACCCACTTTCCTCCTAAGAACTCTTACAATTTTATATGAATTATTTCTGTTCGCTAATATTATTGATTATTGGAATATATATTTTACATACAGGGCGAAAGGTATCTTTCTTTTTGAAAGGTATCTTTCTTTTTTTCCTTTTTTTAGTTGATGTAAAAAGAGGATCTTATGCACCCGTGAAATACGCATTTATGGAACTATGAAAACAGAAAGACAGACAATGAGAAAGACACAGGTGGAAGAATTCTATCACACAGCCTACTTCACTCTTCATCAGATTTCTCGTTGCAGAAACCTTACCAGCAGCAGTAAAAGAAACAGAAAATGAAGTTAGACCATTTTAGTGTGAATTCAGCGCAGGCCGGAAGCGGAAGTGGACATAGTGGCCGAGAAAATTGCATCTTTGTGATGTGTCTATGTCTGAATTGTTACAATTGTACACGATGAACCAACGGCAATTTTGATCAGAACAAATCAGTAACTTTTTTTTTTTAGTCTGAATGTTCTGAGCTCTCTCAAAAGTCATAGGTACTTCAAATACTTTATGAACTTTCCCTTGTCGATGCCACCTAGCAACTCCACAGATGAATATCCTCTTTAATGGCAGATCATCTAGATTTTATCTTTTAGATTTTAAATCAACTACACATCCTTCCTTCTCTGGCGGTTGTCTAAGCGCGTCATTGTAAAAGATCGTCAACACAAAGTGCTGATATCAACAATAATTTCGGTTAGTTCTCTACAGTGAACTTCAGACCGGACTCCTACACATTATCACCTATCGTCTGGTTAGCAAGTTGAAATTTGTAGATTTAAAACAGTAATTAAACCTTACTAACCAGACGCTTCCTCTGTACGGTTAGCTATTACTTTCCTCTACAGGATACAGGTTCGATTCCTGTCAGAGGATATATAAAATATTTTCTATGAGATTTCTCGGACACTCAGGCCGGTAAATGCTGATAATACTGTTTATTAAAACAGAGTATTTACCTAAATATTTGTATCTATAAAAATAACATATGAACAGAATATATATATTTAAAAATTAAGAGACCATCTAATCACGCTACCTTGGTTTTCTTTTGGCATCTTCAAGCTTTTTATCTTATTTTCTTTTCTTTATACGTGTATTGAGCACTTTTTAATACTACTGTTTCCTAATCTAATTTAACTCTGACCAGTAAGTTATATATATATATATATATATATATATATATATATATATATATATATATATATATATATATATATATATATATATAATCATTTTACTCCTAGCAAGGCAATAAAAGCCACTAAAACGCTAGGGGTTACTGATTGTGAAAAAAATATGAAAAAAAGAAAACATTTTTTAGGAGATGGGACAATAAAAGAAGAACTAAAATTAAGAAGGCAGAAGATAACGATTGACATTGCAATTAAATTATTAAAGTTGACTGGAAAAGGCGAAAAAGAGTTCCACAAGCGAGAAGTGCGAGAGAAGAAACTGACAGCATAGAACTTACGGTTACATCTAGTCATTTCAACTGTAAAGCGATGAGACCTTGCCGCTAATCTAGTACTACGCTTAAATTCATAAAGTCTACATACCAAAGAATAAAATTCATCAGAACAATTGCGATAAAAAAGAAAAGGCCCATGAAAGTTACGTTATGGTGGTGGGAAAATGAATGAATCCGAGATGCCAAGTCAGGACCAATAATATTGCAGATTCTTCTTTGTATTCTAAATTCATAGAAGCACAAGACCATATATGGCAGCAATATTCGATGCCTGGACGAATGGTAGATTTATAAATGTATCAGACAGATTCTGGCGAGACAAAATTTCCTTGCAAGACAGTAATCCGACTTTCCTAGCGGCAGACCTAGCAAGTGATTCAATATAATCATTCTACCTGATGTAGAAGTAGAATACGTTAGGCCGAGAAGTTTCATTCAGCATTCATTGACCGAGAAGTCAGTGCTACACGAGTTACTATTTTCAATCCTTGGTGATCGAGATGAGATCAAAGTGTAATATCTGTTCGTATTATTTCTAAAGGTAATGGTAATATTAGCAGTTTCCTTGTAAGGAAACGTTCGGCATTCATTGACCGAACAGCCATTGCTACTCGAGTTACGCTTTTCTTCACTTCCAAGCCATCGGATTGGCATCAAAGTGTAATAACTGTTCTCATGGTAATGGTAATATTAGCGGAAACATTCAGCCTTCATTGAGCGAGTCGCCAGTTCTACTATCAATCTAAATTTATAACTGTTATTGGTCTTTACATTATTGATGGGGGTTTCCTTCCTAAAAATTTTCCCATATCCGCAGTAGGATAAAACGTCACCATCTTGATTGTCATTTTCTCCTCTTCGATTTGCATTTGCTATACATTTTAGTTGTTGCCACTGCTGGTAGTCTTCAAGTGATATGGTTTCTGTTATTTTGTACAGTTATTTTTTTATTCTGTAGCGCCAACCCACAAGGTTCAAAGAAGTGATATGTTTTCTGTTATTTTTTCCAGTATCTTTTTCATTTATTTATTTTTTATGCGGTTTACAAAATTTTTCTTTTTCTGGCATTTACTCGGTAAAAATTCACACGAACCTTCCTCGTCTGTCTTTCATACATTCCTCTACTCCTACATGGACCTTTCCGGATCAGTAAACGTAAAATACTCCATCGCCTGAAAGATCAGTCCTTCTGGTCTGAGAATCGCAAGTCATGCTCCGTTTCCAGGCAACAGATCGTAACAACCAAATGACTAAGCAGACGTCGTATATGGCGATACGTTCTTTCTTCCGCCTGACAGCGTCCGAATGTTCTGTTCCTTCAAACAAATCCTTTCAAATGCTTCTTCTGCTGAACACTTCCGGCATTTGCTGGTATTGCTCAAAGATAGAAAATGGGACACGAGGTTCCATTCAAAATGACGGTTAGGTGAGATTCATAATAATTTCTTCTTTCATTTCTTGTTTTTCAACAATTAAAACACAAACTTCAAAACGATTCAGTGATAGGATACTTAGACATGGTTTAATTGTTAGCAAGCGGGTCTCGTTAGATCATCTGCGACTGAATAGTAAGTTCGGTCCTCACTGGGTGCTGCATACTTTCGACCTTGTGCTACATCTAAGCTTCGCTTAGATAATCGCCCTAATAGTTCAATGATTCGCATTTAATCTTATTAACCTACTAATTGATTTGTTTTTTACGGTTTATCAACCTTTTAAATGCTATTAAAAACCAGAAAATATTTTAGATTGTAAGAAATTTTTTTGAAGATAATAATGATTTACTGATAAAAGTCCTATTAATTAACCCATAGCCGGGGGAGAAGAGATGGATTTATACCTCTATGGTTTATTTAATGCCGGAATCTAAATATTTTGTAAGTGAATATAACGAACTTGACTGGAATTTGAACTCTGCTCTCCGACTTCCAATTCCGAGCAGTTATCCATGAGACCACCTGCACATCCAAGCTTACAGCAAGTAGTATTTCCAAGCGGTCAAGGAACTGACCAGGCTCGACGTTGCTTAACTTCGGTGATCGAACGTGAATCGTTGTTTGAACGTGATATGGCCATCATACTCTACTTGATATCATATAAGACGCATGATTATCTAAGTGATAATTTCCTTAGAAAATTTTCAGAAAAGTCTTCGGCCAACCAATCAAGGCAAAAATGTTCGCTAAGAGAAGATACTAGTCCTGCTACATGAGACGAAATATTTTTTTTAAATAATGTCAACGTGTCCTGTTATTTTTTGGAAAAACAAAGTATGAATAAACAGGGTAATCTCATTAATAAGAGTACTGAACTGTTATGTAATCCATCCTTCTCTGTGACAGTGAATGGTCTATGGCATTTTTCACATGCTTTGTCCGCGATATTCTCGGCATTCGTCAGTAG